ATAATTTCTACATTCTGTGGGATCACCTTTCTTTGGAATGGGCACAAATATGGATCTCCTATTCATAATATGAATAGACTATTCATAAGATGAACTACAAATAATAAATATAGAAAAATGTTCATAGTAATAAATATATATTAAAAAAGTAAATTAAAACAGAAACAAAGTATCATGTTATATTTGCCACATCCACTTTTAAAAATAAATTTATATAAGCCAGAATTACAGAGACCTAAGTATACTCATGTTATTCTTGACAATATAGATAGATACTGCCTGTTTAGAGGACAATTTATAACTTATTAGGAGCCATACTGCTGTTTATATTATTGTGACATATTAGTTCCTCTCTTGGAAATATATCTTAAGAAAATAACTATCACACACAAAAAAAACAAACCAAACCCACTGCCATGAAGTCAATTCCGACTCATAGTGACCCCTATAGGGTTTCCAAGGCTGTAAATTTTTCAGAAGCAGACTGCCTCATCTTCCTTCTGTGGAATGACTGGTGGGTTCAAACCATTCACTTTTGTTTAGCAGCCCAGTGCCTTAACCATAGTGCCACCAGAACTCCTATAAGAAGTAAAGAGGACCTTAAAAGAAAGAGAAGACAAACTCTAAAGAGTATGACTATTTGTTTTGATTTTTTTCTGTTCTTTTTTTTTTTCCCCTAAGTTTTATTTATTTTGGTGTTGTTGAGAATACACATAGCAAAACATACACCAGTTCAACAGTATCTACATGTACAGTTTAGTGATGTTGGTGACATTATTTGAGTTGTGCAACCTTTGCATCCTCCTTTTCTGAGTTGTTCCTCCCTCATTAACATAAACTCACTGCCTCCTAAAAGTCCTATCTAATCTTTTGAGTTGCTGTCATCCATTTGATCCCATGTAGATAGTACTTTAGAGTGTAATGCTCAAGGCAGACCTTTTTTTTACTAGTTAAGCTAAGCTGTTGTTGATTTTAAGATAACTTCAGGGGGTATTTTTTGGTTTAAGGTTTAAAGATTATCTCAGGGCACTAGTTTCAAGGGAGGACTGTTGTTTTTAATATGACTTCTCTTTATTTTAGAGTTGATAGATGTCACATGCACCTTGCTGCTTCTAAACCCAGACTTTACCACTGCATGGAATGTGAGGTATGTCATTATCGTCAGTGAAAAGATGAATTTTAAACAAGTTTCTGAAGACATATAAACTCCATGAATTGTTAGCTTTTTAAAAAATGAAATATAAACCATACATATATGATATCATACACTTAGTTTTTCAACCCATTTTTTTATATCTCCAGGACAATTCTAGCACATACGGTTTGCCCCTTTTGCACGCCTATATGTGTTCTCCGTAAAGTTTTTTGCCTGAAATGCATATTATCATGCTGAATTATGGTATACTGTTCAATACACACATTTATTTTTCTCCCTTTTTCTAGAGATGAGGGCACTTGGCACAACTGGTTGCCTTGTAAGACGTTGATTGGTATGTTTGAGAAGCACTGCATTGCAGTGGAAGGTGTGCAGGATGCGGATTCAAGGCTTTAAGACTTTAGTCTCAGTTTATTCACTAACACTGTGACCTCTGTGGGACAAATCACTTGAAATCCCTGAGACTTAGAGTTTTGGGTTCACATTTTATTAATTTTTGAAGTTGATTCTGCTTTTTGCAGCTTTTGTACACAAAATACTTTATAGAAATATTAAAATTCATACCAGCTTCATGTTTTCCATTGAAGTATTTTCAGCTAAACTATATAAATTTAAATTATATAAAATTAATATAAATTTAAGCAAGTTGGTAGTCCCTTAGATTAACACAAATTTTCTTACAGAAAAACAATATAAATTATAAATGAATAAAAATGAAGTCTCATTGAACATTTTGAATGAATTTTAAGTTTCCCTTTAGGAAAGAACCATAAATCATAGCTGTTTATCTTTAAAGATGAATTAAGCCATGTCTTATTATTTTTCTGTGTAGTGTAAGCAAGGTTATGTTTTGAGATAGTGTTTAATAATACCTACAGAATTTCATATTTGTCACTGATTTTAAGAAATCTTGTATAAACTCTATACAATCTTAGATACACTCCATATAATTTCAGACATACTAAGTTTAATAAAACTATATGCATACTTGGTTTTAATGAGCTGCTAACAATTTTAAATTATATATATGGCTCATGTTTTTGACTTCCATCATATCGCTACTGGACAACACTGTTCTAGACTTTGGGGAGAGGAGGAAAAATAATCAGCATAGGAAACATTTAACAATGTCCTGTAAGCTTAACAACTGAGAGCTTTCTTAAGGGTAGGAACCGTGTCTTCCAACCTCCTCACCCCCCTCACCCCCTTGTATGGCACATAGTAAATATTCAATGTGTAGACTGGGCACTGATCATAATAAAATCAAATGCAGTGAAAATTAAGTGAAGGTAAGAGGGAAATAGCAGTACCAGTTTTATTCATGTTAACACATTCCTCATTATTACAGAGGAATTGGAAATCCTTCAATAATAAAAGACATTTACTAGCATAATGTATATATGTGTACACATCTACGCCTCACTTACCAACTCTCTCTCTATCCAACATTTTGCATTTATGAAAATAGTAAAAAATCTGCTTTCTGACTGTTTTGTGCATTAATGACATGTCTGGCAGTGAAAGTGCCAAGAGTGCTAGGTGAGAGCAATGGTGGCTGTGATGGTTAAGTTTTTGTGTTACCTTGTGTAGGCCATGGTTCTCAGTGGTTTGGCAATTATGTAATGATGTAATTTGGCAGTTATATGATGATGCAGTTATCCACCATTTTGTGGTTTGATAATGGTCAGCCTCCATTTCTGCATAATGCTGATTTTCGCATAACAACCTGGTCTTTGAAACCTAACCATGTTGATGAGTGAGGAGTGGTTGGATTTATTTATTCATCGTATGTTCTATAAGGGCATCTTAGAGTAGGAGAAAGAACCTAGTCCTAAGATCCATGAAACTGAGTTCTGTTTCATCAGTTAACTGGCATTTGACTTTAGGCAAAACTTTAACTTCTCAGAGTTTTAGTTTCCTTATCTGTGAAAGAAGAGTTGGACTAGGAGATTTTTTGTGATTCTTTTAAAGCTGGGTTTTTTGTTTGTTTTTGATTATGTATGTTTTGGTCTTCTGGTAAAGGAGAATTGCTTCATAAATCAATTTAAATTATGGTAATAGTAGTTAAAGTTGAAAATTACTCCAATAAGATGATTAGTAAAATTTTATGCTAGATGAGTATAAAGGAAATCTTATTTTTTTTTCAAAATCCATTGTGTATATGTATTCTAGTAAATTTTGATTTGTGTTAGTAAAATTGATTAACACATAGAATCATATGTACATTTTGAGCAAAATACAACCAGATTTGGAAGCTTGATCCAGCCCCGTGTGGTCTCTATTGAAAATCAAATATTCAAACTTCCATTTAATTATTGCGTAACTCTAGAAAACCTTCAAAGATTTTGACTATGTCTCGCAAACTGCTAAAAGATCGCACAGTACATCTGTCGTTCAGTTTGTGGGTATTGCCATCTTGGGGAAATGATAGGGATAGGAATAATTAAGAGTCAGATTTGATATGGGTGAAGGGAAAAGCAATATAACAAAAGTGGTGACTGGCACAATGTCACTAAGGAAAAGGAAGACATGAAGAAGTGCACAAGAGGTCCAGACAATAAATAAAGGCAAATACTATTGCATACACAATACAGCATCATCAGTAATAGCAAACGCTAATCTATGGGTAGATACATAGTTAGATAGGCAAGAAGACCAGGTATGGATAGGCAAATGGGAATATACTTATAACCAGACATAGGTTTGGCAGATGATATTCCTACATATGTTTTTGTATGTACTATAAAAATGCAGTTGTTATGCAGTTTAAGCATAACAAGAGGCAGTTACGATAACTTCTTAGCCACAAATAATCACCTTGAGGGAGCAGGTTACTGGGCTTGAAGACTGGGGACCATGGTTGTGGGGGACATCAAGATCAATTGACACAACATGGTATACAAAGTTCTACATCTTACTTCAGTGAGTAGCAACTGGGGTCTTAAAAGCTTACGAGCAGCCATCTAAGTGGCAACTGTTGGTCTCTCCTTGTCCAGAGCAAAGAAGAGTGAAGAAAATCAAAGATGCATGGAAACAGTTAGTCCAAAGGACTAATGAACCATGAGAACTTCAACCGATATGACCCTGAGACCAGAGGAACTAGATGATGCCTGACTACCAGTGCCAACCACTCAGAAAGGGATCAAAATTGGAGATCCTGGATACAGTGGGAGAAAAAATGTGGAACAAAACTGAAAATCATAGAAAAGACTAGGCTTATTGATCTGATAGAGACTGGTGAAACCCCTAAGACTATGACTCTTAGTCACCCTTTGGGCCTGGAATTGAACTTACTCCTGTGGCTTAACTCTCAGCCAACAATAGACAGGCCTATCAGATGAACACCTATACCAGGGAAATGCACTCCTTAGAACAGTCTGCCATGGGAGACCAGAAGGGCAGCATTTGTACAGGGAAAAAGGTAGGGAGGCAGGAATACTAGTCAAGAAGGACCACAGAGGAAGGAAGGGTAACCACAGGGAGGAAGTGAGAGGTGAGTTCTTACACTGCAGGGAGTGTAACCAGTGTCATAAAACAAAATGTGTATGAACTGTGGAATGTAAAATGAATCTGCTTTATAAAATTTCACCCAAATCACAATTTTTTTTAAAAAAAGTGTTTTTAAGCCAGTCTTCTGATTACAGTGACTGATACATATAATTTTAAAATTCAATTGGTTATATTTTAAAATATGGCTGCTTCTTTACTTTGAATATTGGTGACTTACTTGATGAAAGAGGTTGACTTCATAATAAAGTCCCATTATTACATTAGTCTGTGAGTATAGAGTAAGCAAAACATCTTTGAGTGACCAGAAAAGCTGATGCTAAGCTCCAGGAGTTCATATCCTTCAGTCATACATAGCCTATTGATTTAAATTCTCTCTCACTGATGTCGAGTTGGATCTGACTATTAGCAACCCCTCCCTGGGTTTCCGAGGCAGTATCACTACAGAAGTAGATTGCCCAACCTTCCTTCTGAGGAGTGGCCAGTGGGTTTGAACTGCCAGCTTTCTGGTTAGCAGTCAAGTGCCTTAGGCACTACGCTACCAGCACTCCTAGTGACCTGAAAATGATTATAAAATGGAAGTGTATCACTATTTAGTATTTTCATTAAAAAGTGATTTTCCTCATCAAAGAAAAAATTTAAAGATGGTACATTGTTGTTGGAAAGAAAATGTATTGCAATATTTAGAGACTAAATCCGTCTAAATAGATAACTAACTACAAGAGCTGGACTCTGGTTTTGTTAGCACTGAACTCTAAAATAAATGAGTCACCAGCTCTACCACAGGAGTGACATTTTAAGACTGGTAAAATAGTAGCAAATGATATAATTTTATTTTAAAAAATATCAGAGCTTATTTTCAAACAATTACCCATGAAATTAAATTTTAACCTAAATTTTACTTACCTAAGAAATCAATGGAGTGATCTTACATGATTTCTTAATTGCGTTGAAGCTTTGGCTGCTTTTGAACTGTTTTTAAAACAGCAGCAACAGTAAAAACCCTCTCATTGCTAGTAACATATTATTTCTGCTGCTTATATTTCAAAAAGGGATTGGTTGAGAATATCAAGGCCGTGCAGGTATTTCACCTGGTAATGATTCTTTTGAAAATTTATCCTAATAGTGCAAAAGAAAGAAGTCAAAAGCACAAACTCCCCTCCCCCCCAAAAAAAGTTCTTTTAGAATAGCAGAAATTTGGAAGCAACCTACATGTCTAGCAGTAGGGAAAAGGTCATTAAATTACAGCACAGCCACTAAATGAAAACTGGTCTTTTAAAATATTTATTATAAAGATTATATAGGACCATGGGGAAGTTCTTAAGACGTAACAAGAGTAGGTTATGGAATGTTAAAATATATGCATCTGGACAAAAGGTAGAAGGGAAAACTCAAAAATAAAAAGTAATTTTGTTGGAGTGGTAATTCGATGAATGATTTTGTTTCTTGTTATTTTAATTGTACAGTGTGCTGTTATTATGTGTATTATTTGGTAGTGGTCCAGACCATGTTGTTGTTGTTATGTGCCGTCGAGTCAAACCCGACTCATAGTGACCCCTCCTTGGGTTTCCGAGGCAGGATTACTACGGAAGTAGGATTGCCCAACCTTCCTTCCGAGGAGTGGCTGGTGGGTTTGAACCGCCAGCCGTCTGGTTAGCAGGCAAGTGTCTTAGCCACTATGCTACAAGAGCTCCCTGTCCAGACCATAGCAAGCCCTATTTAGGAAGCGAGAGCAATTCTTGACTGGTATTGGAACTGTCCTACAAATAGTAATGTCAGTTCATTTACTTTATGGAAGTGAAACAGGCCAAAAAACCCCTATATCCTCTCCCAAATAGTTAACATTTCACTCTTGTTTAAGAGCATTCATCTGTGCTTATCAACTTACTACTTCAAGATTATGAAAATACACTCTTGATTGCTGTGTGTGGCATTTATGAGAGTGTTATTATATATCATAGTGGTTTAAAGTTTGGGTTTTTTAATTTTTGGAAATTCATTTCACATTGAGTTTATATTAATAGCCATTTATAATGTTTGAATAGAAGGATGGAGTAATGGTCCTTTCTCTTTTGCAGGAAAGAGCTGATCCTTTCTGGCACTTTAAATCCAATTAAGGACTTACATCTGGGAAAATTAGCCTTAACTAAGTTTCCAAAGAGTCCAGAAACGTGGATTCACAGGTATGTCTAATTTATATCATAATGTTCTTTGGATTGAGAATGGCTGGAGAAATAAACATGGAATCTGAGGCAGGATTGCATGGTGGTTCAGAGCATGAGTTCTGATGTCAGTTACCTGTGTTTAGATCTGGGTGCCTTCACTTATACCTGCGTGATCTTGGGAAATTACTTAACTTCTCCAAGCCTCCATTTCCTCATTTGTAAATAAAAATAAACAAAAAAATAACACCTACCTCATCATTAATGGTGGTGTCTTACATGAGAGGATGCATGCAAACACTTGTTGTTGTTGTTGTTGTTGTTATGTGCTGTCGAGTCGGACCCGACTCATAGCGACCCCTTCTTGGGTTTCTGAGGCGGTATCACTATGGAAGTAGATTGCCCAGCCTTCCTTCCGAGGAGTGGCTGGTGGGTTTGAACCACCAGCCTTCTGGTTAGCAGTTAAGTGCCTTAGGCTACCACATATTAAATGTCAATAAATGTTAGCTATTATTATTAACTATCGAGTCATGGAGGTTGCATTTAGAGATGCAGCTGTAATGAGCAACTTGGGTTTTAAAGTATGTTAGAGTGTGTTCCTGATAAAGATGGTAGTGGTGGTGGTTACTAACATTAACTTAAGAGGAAGACAAGGGCAGCTGAGGTGAATGGTGTGTGGGCTGAGCTAAAGTTGCTAAAACCATAAATGCAAAGGACTTTTTTAGGTTAAAGGACTTTTTTAGGTTAAAGGCCTGAGGCAGAGAGGCAAAGTGGATGTAAGGACTCCTTTAGAAACCTGATTATATCTGGAAGCATCTTCCTCTTAAACCCCAGGTAGCTACTCTCATCTGTCGAAAATGGAGTGGTGCGGCCATGCCGGTGGTGGTCAGTGGGGAGATTCTCTGAAGCCATCTGTTCTGTTTATTAACTTTATTAACACTGTTAACTTTTCTCAAATGCTGGGCAGTTTAAGGATCTTATTTTAGTTCAGGCTATAGCTTAGCTGTAATCTTGGCTAGCATTACAAAGCGGCTCCTTCAAACCACAGATTAGTTTCTCTTCCTTACTGGAAATTGAGATAGTGGACCTCAGAGAGTTAGAATGACTATGTATTGGGGCTTGGAATAGGGTACTGGTGAAGAGGGGACTGTTAAATATGTATCCATCCATTTATTGACTTGTCTAATTATAATAAAGGTAAAGTAAAAATTTTTATTAAGTAAAAATTTCCATTATATAAAAATGACAAAAAAGTTTTCTTACTCAATTTCCTGTGTGTCTTTGGAAATTTTTAGTCTAAAAGAATGCTTTCATATGACAAAATACTTGTAAAAACTGAAGACACTAAGTAGAAACACTTTTTTAGTACTTTTGATTTAAATGTATGCAAATGTAAATCTTAAATAGACAAGGGGGATATCTGTGGATAGAGACATTTTGAAACCTCCTTGATGGAGTAACTAATTACATTGTATTTGTTTCCTTCACGATTCTATGCAAGAGTATAGAAATTTTGCTTAATGAAAGCTGTCATAATGCAGTTTCTTATTTGCAGATAAATACGCTTCTGATAGAGGAGGTAGAGAGAAGGTAAGGTGTGCACAAGTAGTTAAAGATACCAACCATGACTCCTTCTAGTATTTACCAGATATTAATTGTTACCCTCCTTCCCCAATTACACAGACACACTAGTTGCCTTTACATTTCCTGGCCAAATTTGAAGATACCATTTTGGAAATGACAGCATTCTTTGTGACAGGTTTTTGTTTTAGGAAGATTTTTCTTTAGTTTGTCCCATTTTCTTCTTATTCATGTTGCTAATTTTAATTATGTCTTTTCAAACGAACTAACAAAAGCCCCTAACTCCCCTTTCTCCCTACCCAACCCCAAAGCAGAAAAAAAAAAAATAGCCTGGGTTTAGAAACAGGTATTATTTTTCATTATCTGTGAATGAAAATGAAACTACGAACAAAGAAAACTGTTGTTTTCCTCTGTGGCTTACATTTTTTCCTCATTGTCTTTCCCTGATGCCACCTAACCAGGCGATGGGTGCTACAACAGCTAATTCAGGAAACCTCCTTGCCTTCCTTTGTGATTAAAGGAAACTTGGGAACAATTCCTGCAGAACGGACACAGCGACTAATACAGGAAGAGATGGAGGTCTGTGGTGAAGCTGCGGGAAGATACTCAAGCAACTATAATGCCTGGTCCCATAGGATCTGGGTTTTACAACATCTGGCCAAGTTAGACGTCAAGGTAGGGTTGTTATTTAGTCTCCATGGGCCTACTGCCTGTCTGCCCTTTAAATCTTCTGATGATAGCTCATCGTCAGAGGAGCTTTAAAGGAGGGAAATAGAGGAACTAATGGTCCAGCATCTCAGAGTGGATTGTGACAGCGGATGCCTCCCGAGAAACCTTGGCAGTTATATAGATAGATAGATAAAGTGTGCATTCCTTGCCATTTAAGTTTTTGGCTTTCTCCAGGCAGAGCATGGTGCCCTGGTGATGTAGTGTTTAAAGTGCTCAGCTGCTAACCAAAATGTTTGCAGCACAAACCCACCTGTTGCTCCGCAGGAGAAAGATGAGGCAGCTGCTTCTGTAAAGATTACAGCCTTGGAAACTATGGCAAGTGAGTCAGAATAATGGAGGGCAGTGGGTAAGGCAGAACATTGATAGAAGAGGCAGGTTTAACCAATAAAGGAAAACTGTGCATAACTAACTTTGCCCTGAAGAAGGAAGGGATTATTAAGCTTTATAAAACTGAAATTGTTATTTCTTGGTAGTCTTTGATAAATGACTTTATGTGCTGAATCACTGGCTGTCTTTTCCTGGTGTCCTCTGCGCACCAGAAGGCTCACCAGGTGTCCCAAACTTGGCTGAACCTTTGAATTATCTGACTAGAGCTAAATTGAAATGAAGATGGGATCTAGAGATCAATATTTTTCCCAGGATCACAGTGGTTACTAGGATGCAAAGCCAGGTTAGAAATTGTCACAGCTAATCCCTCCAGTTTAGAAAGGAGATGACGGGCTCCAGAGAATTTTAACTACTTACATGTTGCCCTGGTTGCACTGCTTATTGATCATCATAATGAGAACCAGGTGTCATGGTGCACCTTCCTATATACTGTAGCTTTTCTGTTTTTTCCTCCTCATGATACCACAATGCCATAAGGATCTAAGGTACTCATCTAAGAAGTTTCCTGGACTCGGGACAACCAGAAGAGGTCAAGTGAGAGGTCAGAGTGTCCCAAGTGGTGCTTTCAGAGTAATGGGGAGGTAGTCTCCAATTCTTGCTCATCACCCTCTTCTTACATCTCTCTTCCTCGGGTCCCTCTTCTCTCTTTGTTTCCAGAGATTCCAAAGATTAGCCAGAGATTCCTCCAGGACAAATAGGAGAATTTTTACTTCTGAGGGATTTTTAGGGAACAATTCTAGAAAAGGAGCTTTTCCCTCCAATTAAAAGTCCTTGAGCTTCAGGAGGGGAAGCCACCTAGCGGAATGGAAAGCTCAACGGCCTAGAACCATAATTGACCTAAGTTCAGTTTCTGACTCTGCTAGCTGTGTGTAGAAAACAAGGCCTTAAATTTCCATCAATAAAATGGGAGCTCTGCTACCTGCCTCAGTGTACATAAAGTACTGACAGCTAATAGAGACTCCGAATTTTTAGTTCCTTTCCCTGCTCCCCATAGGTAGAAAGTTTACATAGAGCTGGCTACAAATGTGTTTGATCAACTTGGTGCAATTTATTCATAAAAAAGTACTGAAACTCCATTATTTCTAGGCACTGGAGGTGGCATTGTAAAGACAAAGAGCTTGCTGTCAACAAATTAAAAATCTTGCTTAGGAAGCAGACAACAACAATTACAAAGCAGGGTCGCACTTGCACAAACCAAGGGAAGCCCAGGATCCAGAGCACAGACAAATGGCTCTTCATCCGGGCTGGACAGATTGGAACAGTCTCTAGGAGTGACTGCAGGTTATTTGGTGGGTTGTAGGGAACAGAGAATGCTTATAGTGGTCATCTCAGCTCTGCAGCTGACACGGAGGGTGAGGATAAAAAGTCCATGGGAGCTGACAGCTTTGGGACTTTCCTGCCAGGATTTGGACCGTTTCAAGGGCATTCTCATAATATCAGGAACATGAGGCTCTAAGCTGAAATATCGGGAACATGTGGCTCTAAGGTGAAATTCTTGGTGACTTGACATTATCTGACATTAAAGAGGACAACTCATTAGTGGTGTATTGTCCCAGGTGTCTGGATTCACACCTAGGCTTGCATATAGTTCCTGTGCCCTGCCCTTGAGGAACTTGGCATTCTTCCTATGTGTGCCAGCACTGGGCCACAGCATCTCTAACTCCCTCGTTAGTCTCAGTGAACAGTGCTGAATTGGCAAAATCCCCTTTTCTCTTTTCATAAGCCATTCGGCCAGCTAGGAAATCATGTCCTGCTACGCTTCATCTGTCAGAGGAAGTAACCACAAAGTACCAGATGTCTATTGTTAGGTGTCATTGAGTCAGTTTCAACTCCTAGCAACCCTATGTACAACACTCGCAATACTTTCTGGTCATGCACCATCCTCACAATTGTTGCTAAGTTTGAGTCTATTGTTGCACCCACTGTGTCAAGCTGTCTCATTGAGGAGCTTCCTTTTTATTGCAGACCCTCTGCTTACCAAGTATAATGTCCTTCTCCAAGAACCGGTCCCTCCTGATAACATGTCCAAAGTATGTGAGAGGAAGTCTCACAATCCTCACTTCTAAGGAGCATCCTGGCTGTACTCCTTCCAAGACATATTTGTTCATTCTTCTGGTAGTCCATGCATCAATTCTTCAGTCTTCTTTACTCAATATCTAGCTTTTGTGTTTATATGAGGCATTTGCAAAATACCAGGGCTTGAGTCAGGCATTCCTTAGTCCTTGAAGTGACATCTTTGCTTTTTAACACTTTAAAGAGGTCTTTAAAGAAATAAGTCTTTTACAGCAGATTTGCCCAATGCAATATGTCATTTGATCTCTTAACTGTTGGTTTCATGGGCATTGGATGTGGATCCAAGTGAAATGAAATCCTTGATAACTTCAATCTTTTCTTCCATTTATCATGATATTGCCTATTGGTACAGTTGTGAAGATTTTAGTTTTCTTTATGTTGGGGTATAATCCATGCTAAAAGCCTGTAGTCTTTGATCTTCATCAGTAAATGCTTCAATTTTCTTAACTTTCAGCAAACAAGGATTTATCATCTGCATATCCCAGATTGTTAATGAATCTTTCTCCAATCTTGATTCCATGGTCATCTTATATATAGTCCTGTTTCTCAGATTATTTGATTGGCATACAGATTGAATAAATATGGTGAAAGAATACAACTAACACTACTTTCCTGTTTTCAAACTGCGTGGTGTCCTCTAGTTCTGTTTGAGTGACTGCATATTTGTCTATGTACAGGTTTCTCATGAACACAATTAAGTGTTACGGAATTCCCATTCTTCAAAATGTTATCCATATTGTTATGATCCATAGTGAAATGCCTGTGCATATAAAACACAGGTAAACATTTTTCCGGTATTCTTTGCTTTCAGCCAGGATTCACCTAATATCAGCAGTGATATCCCTTGTTCCACATCCTTTTCGGAATCCAGCTTGAATTTCTGGCAGTTCCCTGTCAGTGTACTGCTGCAATAGTTCTTGAATTATCTTCAGCAAAATTTAACTTGTGTATGATATTAATGATATTGTTCAGTAGTATTTGCATTCTGTTATATTACCTTTCTATGGAATGGGCACCTATGTGGATCTCTTCCAGGTAGCTGTCATCCAAATTTCTTGGCATAGATGAGTACGTCCTTCCAACATTGCATCTGTTTGTGGAAATATCTCAATGGGTATTCTGTCAATTCCTGGAGGCTTGTTTTTCACTAACGCCTTAAGTGTAGCTTGAACTTCTTCCTTCAGTATCATCAGTTCTTGATCGTGTGCTGCCTTCTGAAGTGGTTGAATGTCAACCAATTCTTTCTGGAACAGTGACTCTGTCACTTCCATTTTTTTCTAATGCTTCCTATATCATTCAGTATTTCGCCCATAGACTCTTTGAATATTGCAACTCAAACTGGAATTTGTCTTCATTTGTTTCATCTTGAGAGATACTGAATGTGTACTTACCTTTTGGTTTTCTAACTCCAGGTCTTTGTACATTTCATTATAATACTTTACTTTGTCATCTTGAGCCACCTTTTGAAATCTTCAGCTCTTTTACTTTTCATTTCTTCCATTAACTTTAGCTAATCTGTGTTCACCAAGTTTCAGGGTCTCTTTTGACATCTATTTTGGTCTTTTCTTTCTTTCCTATGTTTTTAATGACCTTTTGCTTTCTTCATGGATGATGTCCTTCCACAACTTGTCTTATCTTTGGTCATTAGTGATCAATATATCCAATCTTTTCTTGAGATGGTCTCTAAATTTGGGTGGAATATACTCAAGATTGTATTTGGCTCTTATGGACTTGTTTTAATTTTCTTCAGCTTCAGCTTGAACTTATATATAAACAATTGATGATCTGTTCTACACTCAGCTCTTGACCTTGTTCTGAATGATATTGAGCTTCTCTACCATCTCTTTCCATAGATGTAGTCAATTTGATTCCTGTGTATTCCATCTGGTAAGGTCCATGTGTATATAGTCACTGTTTATGTTGTTGAAAATAGATGTTTGCAAGGAATAAGTCATTAGTCTTGCAAAATTCTATCATGCAATCTCTGGCATCCTTTCTATCATCAAGGCCAACTTTCTTGTTTCTAGCTTTCACATTCCAATCACTAGTAATTATCAGTATGTCTTGATTACATGTTTGATCAATTTCAAACTGTAGAAGTGGGTGTGGTAGTTAACTTTGTGTGTCAACTTGGGTGGGCCTGTTTGAGTGGCTGGACAACAGGATCTAGTATTCCCTATGATGAGACTGGTAATCAACTCCATGGTGGAATCTATTGTGAGCAGCTGAGTAGCTGCCTTAGCAATATGGTCTACTTCCTGTATATAAGGAGAAGCCTTGGGGAATGGTCTCTAGCATATGGCACACTTGAACCATGCATGTAGCCGTGTCATTGTTCAGCAGCCTACCATGCTCTGCCAACCTCGGAACTTAGAATGGACTTGAATTAATGGCCTGCTGTGTGGTTTGGTAACATCAAGACTGTGCCTTTTTGCTTGTCCACCTTGGGCTTGTTAGCCTCAGCAGCCAGTAGCTGCCTGAGTGAA